GGGCTCTAGGAGTGCAGGCTTCAGTAGTTATGGTGTGCAGGCTCAGTAGTTGTGGTGCACGGGCTTAGTTGCTCCGCAGCATGTGGGATCTTCCTGGACCAAGGCTCGAACCTGTGTCCCCTGCATTGGCAGGCAGATTCTTAACTGCTGCGCCACCAGGGAAGCCCTGTTTTTTTTCTTTAATACTGTTTTGTAATCTTTTTTCACCTTTTTTCCCAGCTTCATTGAGATATAATTGATGTGAACATTGTGTAAGTTTAAGGTGTACAGTGTGATGATTTGATACATATATGTATTGTTAACTGATTACCACAATGTGGTTAACACATCCATTACCTCACATAGTTACCTATTTTTTGTGTGTAGTGAGAATCCTTTTTCATTGGATTATGTGTTATAGACATCTTTTCAGTAAATACAGAATTAATGGCTGAATTATACTTCCATGTGTGGATATACCATAATGCATTTTATTCTCTTAGTGTATAATCTGTTTATCTCATCTCTAATCAATGATGCCTTCCCCGACCCTCTTACTTAAAGTTGTGACAACCTTCCTTTCCTATCTTCCTTCTCTCTGTTACTTTTCTTTATAGCATTTAGTCCCACATGCCATACTACATATTTTTCTTATTTGTTTATTGCCTAACACGCTTCATTAGAATGTAGGCTCCATGAAAATAGGGATTTTTTTTTTTTTTTTTTTTTACTCTGCTTCTCTGTAACTAGAGCTTAGTACCAGTTCCTGGTACCTAGGTGGTGCTCAATAAATATTTGTTGAATGAATGAATTTGTTGGATTTTTGGTGTGCCTGTTGGGGTTTTTATTTGTAACATATTTGTTATTATGTATATTCTATAGTAAATACCTTGGTAAATAATCTTTATACACTTGTCTATGTATCTCCTTAGGATAAGTTTCAAGAAATGGAATGGCTGAGATAAAGGGTATATGCACAGTTAGAATGTTGATTCATGGAGCCAAACTACCCTTAAGAATGTTAACTTATACTAACAGTGCATGAGATTGCCTGTTTCTCCGTATCATCAGTAACACTGGCTTGTGTGTTTTTTGTGTTCCTCATCTGACAGGTGAAACATTGTCTTGTCACTGTATAACATGGTAGTTGAGAATGTGACTCTGGAGCTAGCCGGGTGGGACCTGAATTCTGACTCAGCCACTTCCTATGTGACCTTGGGTACATCATTTAACTTCTCTGTACCTCAGTTTCATCTTTGGTAAAGTAGGGATAATGATAGCACCTATTTCATGAGAAATAAATCAGTTAATCCAAGTAAAATGCTTTGAATAGTAACTGAGACATGGCAATTATGATTTAATTTACATCATATTTAATCATTAAATATGATTTAATTTACATTTCTTTGAATATTAAAGATTAAACATATTTTCAAATGTATTTTGGACAGATGTATATATTTTTTGAATCACTTATTCATGTCATGTCCTTTGCACATTTTCCCAGTAATATTTTCTTAATAATTTGTAAGAGCTAAAGTGTTGACGGTTGTATATAGTGCAGAATTGTTCCCAGTTTGTCATTTGTTTTTCGCCTTTGTTTATACAATTTTTTATCTATCTGCAAGTTTGACATTTTTAAGTAGTCAAGATAATCTTTTCCGTTATAGTTTTTGCTACTAGTTCAATGTTTAGAAAAGGCATGCTTCCCTACCTCAAAATTATAAAAATAGTTACCCATTCTTGTTGAGTACTTTGCGTGGGTGTGTATTTTTAAATCTTTAAATTTAAATCTTTGATTCATCTGGAATTTATTTCGATATGAAGATAGCAGTTGAGATCTGGTTCTATTTCTTTTTAGTATGTCCCAAACCCCTTTATTGAAGGAGCAAGAGCAGGAGCCTTGAATCTATTCTCCCCTCCCCCAATTTGAAAGTAAGCTATCCTAGCTATAGCAAGTAGCAAATCTCCATTTTAGAGAATGAACTTAATATTTGGACTCAGTCAGTAGTCATTCATTTGTTAAACTATGGGATGAATATGCTGTGTAAAGCAGTTTGGGATCAGACCTCACAGTTGATTCTAAATGATGAGGCTGCTGGGCTCACTGGTGCAGCTTCTCTCCTGGCTCTGGAAGCTCCTCCTAAGTGGGTCCTAATTTGAGGACTTCTTTGATGGGGCCGTTGTTAGTTTGGAATGATAAGTTCTCTGTTGTTCAAAAAACAAATGATGTGACTGTAGCAGATACTTCCTCACTCCAGCCTAGGTGTATTGATAGGGTATTGGTAGAGGGAGTGTTGAATGGTAATAAACCCATTGTGTTCTAGCTCCGTCCTCATCTTCCCTTTTTGGAACTCTAGTCCCACCCAGTTTTTTGCCTCTGACTCAAGATGGAGGGAGGATGATTCTTATACAGCAGAGCATCCACATATTTCATGGCAGCTACTATCTGCCAGAGATAATGAAGCAAGGGAGCTAACTCATACATGGCATATATTATCTGCCAGGAACTGTTCTAAGCATCTTATATATATAAACCTTTATGTGGTAGGTGCTCTGTACTGCGTTGCATAGTGTCCCCTAAAAATCATATCCGCCTAGAATCTGTGAATGTGATCGCATTTGGAAATGAGGTCTTTGTAAGATATAATCAAGTTATGATGAAGTCATAACTTGATTGGGCCCTAATCCAATGCCTGGTGTTCTTATAAGAAGGGGGAGTCACTCACAGAGGAAAGATGACCATGTAGAGATGGAGGCAGAGATAGGAGATACGCTGCCATATACAAAGAATGGCAGGGATTACTGGCGACCACCAGAAGCTGGAAGAGGCAAGGAAGGGTTCTTTCCTAGAACTTTCAGAGGGAGCATAGCCCTGCTGACACCTTTATTTTGGAATTCTAGCTTCCAGAACTGTGAGAGAGTAAATTTCTGTTGTTTAAAGCCACCTAGTTTGTAGTATCTGCTACAGCAACCCTAGGAAACCAGTGCATGCTATTATTATCATCTCTGTTTTCAGATAAGGAAACTGAGGCCCAGAGAGGTCAAATACTTGGAAAGCTCTTTAGGCCACTGCTCTGCTGGCTGGGCACTCACTCTGAAGCTCTTGCTATTATTCTTATCAGCTCTTCACCTTTACCACAGCCTTCCCACTTCTGGTAGTGCTGAGGCTGAGCTGCTCAAATAGCTCCTTTCTCTAACACAGCAGGCTGCAGCATTTCCCCATCCTTGCCCACTTTACCCCCTAAAGCAGAAATGCCTCTCAGGAGGCTTCTGGTTGTAGCCCGATCATTTCAGCAGGTCTCTTTCCTGACCCCACCCCTCCAGGTGAAATCAGGCGTTTTTTTTTTCATTCCCTCGTAATGTCAGAAGTGTCAGTGACAATTCAGGGGAGGGTCACCAAGTTTCTTCTGGCGACTGTTTTTATGCTTCCCATTTCTGGCCCACTATATTTCCTAGAATTCCTGTCAGTAGACAGCTCAAGTCTTGTTTTCCTTTGGAGATTTCAGGATCTCACACATAGCTCACATGGCACATGTCACAGTTCATGGCTGTGAGCAGAGAAGGAACAGCTTCATGGTAGCATTGGATGCGAGGGCCCTGGTCACTTGTTCTCGATTAACTCAACCCACAGCAGTGGCTCTCTCCCTTGCCAAAAAGAATGGGAGGATAAGGGTATTATTTGACCCAGCTCATCTCCCTGAACAGCACCTTGTCAGCCGTGGTCTCTTCTGCTGGCATCCCAGAAGAGGTTTCCTCCCTCTGCATCCCATTGCTGGCTACAGACTCTTGCCTGTTTTCTAATATAGACCCTTTGCTTTGGATCCTGATCTTATTCTCAACTCCTCTCACTAAACTGTAGCTCTGGGAACTCAGGAACCATATCTGTTTTGTTTGCTGCTGTATCCCAGGACTGAGTAAAGACTTGGCACTTATTGACCCCTGAAGAAATGTTTATTGAATGAAAAAATGAATATTGACCATGAAGCTTTGGAATCCTGGTTTTTCTTGCTTCATGCTGAAGCCAAGGACCAGATTAAGAACTTTAGAGGCCTCGGGACTTCCCTGGTGGCACAGTGGTTAAGAGTCCACCCGCCAATGCGGGGGACACAGGTTCGCGCCCTGATCCGGGAAGATCCCACATGCCGCGGAGCAGCTAAGCCCGTGCACCACAGCTACTGAGCCTGCGCTCTAGAGCCTGCGAGCCACAGCTACTGAGCCCACGTGTCACAACTACTGAAGCCCGCGCGCCTAGAGCCTATGCTCCACAACAAGAGAAGCCACCGGAACGAGAAGCCCACGCACCACAACCAAGAGTATCCCCTGCTCGCCACAACTAGAGAAAGCCTGTGCACAGCAACGAAGACCCAATGCAGCCAAAAGTAAATAATAAATAACTAAATTTATAAAAAAAAACAGAAAAGAACTTTAGAGGCCTAAGCAATAGGAAGATTATGATGTTCCTCGTAATTTTAGCCCTCAGTATGTATTTCAAAAACAATATTAAACACAAAATAAGTGTAAGGAAATCTAGCAAAGTATAAGGAAAACCCCGCAAAATTTTGATATTTACCATGGTGACTACCTGGATAAATGTAAAATAATTTAAAACATTTGTTATTATTGTTTCTGCTTTGCCAGTTCCCTGAGCATGTGCTGTCAGATAATCCTGCCTGGACCAGCCCCTTCCTTACCTTGGACTTCACCTTCATTTCCTCTTAACTCCATCTGCTGAAGCTGCCAGCCAGCCCCTTTCACCCCACAGTGGTGTCCAGACCACTGAGAGCCCAGCCTGGGCTATGCTCCGGGCTCCCTGGGGCCTTGCCAAGAAGGTCAGGTAGAACATGCACACTGCTGAAGAGTCCCTCACAATGAGAACTCCCATGCTGAATTGTGATTTATAGTCAGCATCGCATTTTGTGCCATGTGATCACACTTAAGCCGTTTTTAGTTGTAGTAATCTGCTCCAGTGATCCTGGATGTGGAAAGTCCAGAAATTTTCCTGTGTTCCTCCTTCCTAGATCGCTGAGAGAGAAGTCAAGATGCAGGCCCACTTTGCTTCCTGTGTTAACATGGGCCTTGTTGAGACCATTCAGTGAGGTATGGTATGATTCTGGAAGTGAGCCCAGGCCTTAAATAGGCTGTTCCAAGGCTGTGACCCATAATTAAATCCTATTACTGCTTGTTTCCATAGAGTTTAAAATAGTGTTGGAAACCTCCTAGGGAAAAAAGCACCACCGTAACTTCTTGGCTAAGGAAGTAGTGTGTGCTGGCCAGAGCAGAAGAGGTAGCCAAGGCTCCCAGGTTCTATTCTGGACCTGTTGATTTGAGGTGTGACATTCAGCAATCTGAGATGGTGTCCTGTATCTCTGATGGTTTCTCATCTTTACCACAGAGACTGTGCTTGCAGGGAGAGAGGCCAACACACAGATCCCCTGTCCTGTAGGAGAGTCTCATCATTAGAAGTCTTTTCTTTCATTTGAATTTCCACACACACCCCTCCCCCCCCTTTTTTTTAAATGAAGAAATATCTCCCACAGAGTTAATATAGGAACCCAGCAATATCGTCCACGTTTTACTTGACTTCATTTTATCAGAATTGCTTTCCTTTTAGCAGTGTGATTAGATTAGCTTTTGTAAGGGATGGGAACTTTGATAGGGTTTAGGAAAAGGAAGGGAAAGTTTGTGTGTGGCACACACCTTGGACAACCAGAGCATAACATGAGGGGACCAGGTACATGATAAACTAGGTTGGGAAGAACAAACTTACATCCCTGGAGAGCCAGGCATATATTAGATGTCTTTGCGTATTTTCTTATTTAATATCATAATACAAATCAATAAGTTATCATCTCCATTTTTGCACATGGGCAAGCTGAAAAAGAAATTATGTAACTTGCCCAAGGTCAGACAGCTAATACAAGGCTGAGCTACGATTTATTTCTCCTCAGGTCTGTCCAATTCCAAAGCCCATGCTGTTTTTATAGAGCTCTTCTGTCTCTGACAAGATATAAGAAAGAAGGGTGGGGAAAGAAGAGAAGATGGGGAGATACCATCTTTCTTTATCTCACAGTTTTGCTTGTTTAGACGTGTTCAGCCAGAGCATCCTGTTTATAGACTAGTACTAGGTTCTATATATAGATATGGTGCCACAACATATGTGGGAAAGATAACCAATTGACTGTAGGGGAGGATTAAAAAAAGTCTTTGTTCTTTACCTCTAGGTCTTCATTATAGTGTAACTCGCACTATCAAAACACCACTGGTAACTCTGGTGTACTGTTTAAGAGGCCCTGTCACACCATCCAAATAAAACCTGTTGATGTGTTCCAAGGAATAAGCCATGATGGCGGCAGAGGTGAGGGTGTGGTGTGGCCTTACCGCATGAACTGGGAGGTGGTGGCACCTGTTATGTGACTACTACAGTGAATTATTACTGAGTAAACAAGAGATGTCTCCCTTTTGCTTTTTCAAGGGAGACCAGATGGCGGTGGGTGTTGGCCCAGATCCAGGGGAGCCTGGCCTCTGGCTGGCAGAGGAGACAGCTTAAGGGTGTCAGGTGATGGGATAAGAAGAGACGGGGCTGGTCTGTTAAGTGGTATAATTTCAGAGGGCACCAAGAATACGTCTTGACCCTCAAAGACTTGCCTCAGCTATTTGCTGTTGCTTGGAATTCCACAGGTGAAATTTCTTTCTCTTAAGTCTTTTGAGACCCTATTAAAAATGAAGAAACTCCAGGAAAGGGTTTGATTATGAAGCGTCTTGGTCATGTAAGTAGAAGTATGAATGAGTTTATGAGATTGATTTCTGAGAGCTAGACTAAGGCAGGGACAGAGAGGAGAAAGCATTGTGCCCCCAGTCATAGTGACGGGAAGGAGACACCACTGAGATTGAGATAATGGCCCTGAGAAGAGAAGTTGGGTTCCTAAAGAAACACCTTGTTTTCTTCACAGTTTTGCCTGAGGAAAGATAAGGAGCTGAGAGGGGGGGGAATGGAGGCTCTTGAACTCCAGAGGGGGTGCTGGGTAGAGTGATTTCCCCACCAGTGTGCTGGATATGCAGTCGTGGTGTTGTCTGGAGAACAGCTGACAGGCAGAATGTAATAAGGAGTGTAGAACCTTTGAGTCTGTGGTTTGCTCTGATGTCCTCAGACAAGACCATCACAGATCTTAGGAAGCAGGAAGCAGCTTCCCATAAATGATGTAAAATGGTGGCGCAAAAGAGGCCACCGATGACAACATGGGCAGGGTACTTCCTCAGTGGCTGCTGGTCACAGACAGCTTTTGGTCTTGATTTCCCAATGAGCCGTGCTGCGATAGGGCTTTACCAGAAAGTAAATAAGCCTTGTCCAAAGCAGTGACAAAGCACTTGGGGTATCCATGCAAAGTGCAGTTCCCTCTTGTTCTCTAACTTTGTGGAGCCAAAATAACTAAGCCAGAGGTGCCAGCATAGCACCTGGGATTCAATCTTCAACTTTTGTGGATTGAATTCGCTACTGGTTGACTGTTCATCTTTCATTTACCAGTGCTCCCAAACTGCCTTTGTGATCTGAATTCTCACATCTTTCCTCCCTCAGGGAGTCTGACAGAGACAGCTCAAATCTCAGTGCCTTTCCCAGCTCCTCACAGCTGGGTTCATGGATGCCCTTTACCCTCAGGCTTCAACTTCTACTTTGTCCACATTTCTACCCTAAGTCTGGAGCATTTTCTTTGGATCAGACTTTCGGCTTCATTCAGGCCTCTAAGGTTCTCACTTCTTTCAGCACATTTTCCTAGAGAACTACCTGAAGAATGGTCTCTACCCCTCACCTCCTAAAGTTTGACATAATGTGGACCTCCTTCCTTACTGGAATCAGCACAGTTCTTTGGAAATTTCTGTATATACCACACCCCTACCTCTCTTCCCAACCACCTTAGCCTCATACACAAGATCTAGTGATGTAGCTGGATCTGCTGATCACCAGGATTTTGGAGCCAGTGCCCCCAGCAGGGAGGAACTCCTGGGCATGTGCTCTGAGTGACAGTTCTGTCCACCAGTCTCTGCCTCTCCTCCATCTCACCTTTCTTTTGGCTTTTCCCTGAGAGGACCCCCTAGCCCTGTCCAGGACTGTAACCCTGCTGTCAACCCCTTATCAGGGGCTGTGACCTTTGCTTTCCAATCTCTTCTGGGCCAGGTCCCTTCTCCGATACTAGAGACTTTTCCTACAGCTACGCTTTGGTAAGTAGAGTTCTGCCCATGCACTGATACCCCAGTGTTGACCACCTTGAACTCTGTCTACTGCTCTTTGGGCTGATTGGCTGTCTTGCTGTTCTGTACAGCTATGCTTGTGGAACAAGGCTCTTAGGCTTAGTTGAGCCCCTGTCCTGAATTTCATGTTAGCTCTCCAACTGCCTCTGCCTCAAAAAGAGCTTTTAATATGCATTTATAAAACTCCAAAAGGGAGATAGAGAATATAACATTTCCTAGACTTATTTAACTAGAAAACCTTTTTTTTTTCTGGCTGAAGAAAATTGTTAAAATCTGACAGAGTATGGTGCTTGGTGGAGCACAGTTTTGGGAAGTACAAGACTTTATCCTAAAGGAATGGACATCAAATGGAGGAATTCCAGGTAAAGGTAATGTGACAGTCAGTGAAAAAAATTCTTTGGGGATAGGAAACGTCTCCTGGGGCTCCTCATTCAACAAGTGCCCACTGAGCACCTGCTATTTATGTCTCTCTGCTGGAATCACACCATGTGTTTGACTACTTAACTTTGTGTCTGCATAAGGCCGGCTCTGATCTGGAGTGGAGCCCAAGGTGGAGAAGGAGGTGGGGATGCTACATCCTTTCTCCCATGTTTAGGTCCTCTTCCCCTTTCCTCCAGTGGAAACAGGAAATGGTGAATGGGGTGATGCCATCATGGCCACAGATACATCAGGTTTTGGATCCAAGGAAGGAGGGCTTCTCTGAGGCTTCTTTCCCTAGGTTTGACCTCTTCCAGGATTTCTCTAGCACTTTTGGGCACCCCACCTCTCCCACTCTGGGACTGTTCATCTCCACATTAGTCCCAGTTCTCACTGCTGGTTCAAGATTTTGATTTTACACATGGGCATCAGTGCCAAGTGGTATGGAGGTCATTTTTATGGAATGGGTGTGACATTATAAATTTTCTACTTTGCCTATGAAATCCCTCTTCTTTTATAGCTCATGGGCAGTCCAGACTATAATAATTTTTTTCAGTCCTTCAGTGAAGATAAACCCATGTCTGGGAAGGGCAGTCTTGCAGCCATTTAAATCTGTCAGGGTGGGTGACTAAGTGCCAAGGGCATAGCGGGTAACCAAAGTGGAAGCCAGTCACTTCCTCTGAATGTCATTCTCAACCGGGACAGGAAAAGATCCCTTGAAGCAGATAGAAGTCACTAAGACTCTTGACTAAAACCTTTTGAGACCCTGGTATATGGATCTTTACTGTCATGAGTGAGATCTTTGTTTGGCTGATCTTAACTCAGTTGGCTTGAGCTAATCATAGAACAAACTAGATGGAAGGGCTCAGCGTTGAACTTTCCCTTCGGTATGGTGTTCTCTGAACATCAGCAAATAGCATCCTCCCACCTTAGGGGCCCTGGCCTGTGACAATTGTCCATTTCTGCCACTTCCTCTGAAAGACCATGGTTTTAACTGTGAAGATCAGTGAGTGGGTTCACTTGCAGGAAGGTGGAAAGGGGGCTTGAAATGGGCATTTAGAGATCTTAAATAGAGCCAGCCAGTTACTTGTTCATTCTATAGGTGTTTATAATTATTAGTTTGTCTATAACTGCAGAAGGCTTACTTTCCCCAACTAGTCTTTCCTAACAGGCTCCCTACATGAAGACATTTCCTAAGATTCTTTCCTTAGACCTGTTCTCTCCTCCCTCTATAAACTGTCCCTGGGTGATGTCATCTGTGCTTATCAAAAACTCTCAGATCTCTATCTCCAACCTAAATCTCTCTTCTAGTTCCTGACTCATGATGACCATACACTATTGATATTATAACCTGGATGTCTTAAGCCAGATTACATTCTTCATCAACCATCCTCTTCTCCCTATTCCTGCATTCCTTCCTATTTTTATTCCTCTTACTTTGTTCCTTGATTCAGGAGCATCACCATCTAGGTTGATTAGTAAACTTGCTTCTGCATCAGTGTCTTGCACTGTTCCACCACCAAGAATTTAATAGGCTCTGAGTGTAGTATAAGATGTTTAGGATGTGTGTAGGTGGTTTGTTTCTTTTCTTTTTCTTTTCCTTTTCTTTCATGTAATTCTCATCTGCATGGCATGTACAGTTGAATTCCACAGAGAAATTAACAGATAGAAAAAATAAAGATTAATCTGAGGTTTAGATTTTAAGTAAACTGGAAATTCTGGAAAGGAAACATCTGAGGGCTAAAACCTTGGGAGAAAGCTTCGTGGAAGAGGTGAGAGTCGACTGAGGACACCTTAGGCGGGGTAGGGACCGCAAGACCCCTTTGGGAGCATGTGCAGTGGTGAAGGGACAATCCTCAGCTTGTTTCTTGTGCAAGCAGAGTGATCAGCACCTCCCCTACCAGCTACTTCTGTTCATCACTGTTGTACCTCATGCAGTTTGATTCTGTTTAAAAGGTTCTGAGGGGGCTTCCCTGGTGGCGCAGTGGTTGAGAGTCCGCCTGCCGATGCAGGCGACGCGGGTTCGTGTCCCGGTCCGGGAGGATCCCGCATGCCGCGGAGCGGCTGGGCCCGTGAGCGGTGGCCGCTGAGCCTGTGCGTCTGGAGCCTGTGCTCTGCAGCGGGAGAGGCCACGGCAGTGAGAGACCCTCGTACCGCAAAAAAAAAAAAAAAAAAGGTTCTGAGAATTGAATATCATAGTGTAACACATTAGTTAGCTGGAACCATCTTTTCCCTTAAACTTTTGGCTCAAGGTGTCATTCTGCAACTTGTGGAAACTCTGATTCCTTCACCCAGAATTCACCAGTTTCTTGGGAGCTCATGTATTTATAGTCACTCTGATTTTGATCTCTTGCTCCCATTAAATTAGTTCAGATTATAGACAGTCTTATTGTCTCAAGCATGCTGTTCCTGTTTCCATCCACATTGAACCAGATGGTAGAACTCAAATATCTCACACCTCAAAGCCTTTTTGTGTGTAGCAGACTTTATTAAAGTTTGGGGTAATGGAGAGTATTTTACATTGCAGCAAAGTAAGCAACTTGAATTCTCATACTGGCTATCCCTTTCCCTTAAAGTAATTTGCCCACCTTTCCATTAGGGATTCATTAATATCACCCATATATGTGGCCTTGGTGTCTCTTACAATCTTATCTTTCTTTACTTTGCAAACCGTCCTTACTCTATTGCCACTAA